ACACACACACACAGACACACACACAGACACAACGGTCGGCTACATGCAAGAGGGACCCTGGGTAAGAGTGGCCTTTGGTGCGCGGTTTTTTGGGGCCGCGGGGGGCCAAACACAAGCGCGCAAGACGCTACAATCGCATCGCGTTCGGCGATCGGGGACCTCATTGGGCCCGAACCACAGACTCTCCGGCGAAAAGTCACTCGTAGGTTTCGCCGAAAAGGGGACGCACTGACCAGGGTCAATTGCAGGATCCTGCAGGATCCTGCACCCAAGCCCTGGTCAGTGCACCCCTGGCCTCGCAGGATCCTGTAAGATCCGGCGCTCTGGCTGACCCCCATGTTGCATCGAACCCCGTCCCTTGAGCCCCGACTCAGAAGGCTCGGAAACCCTTCAACCTTCCGAGAAGTTCTCCAAGCCTTCCCCGAATCCACACACACACCACTTCTCAGAAGGCCGGAGGTCCTCTGATCGAGAAGCCTTGCAGCCTTCCGAGAGGGCCTTCTCCTCCTCACTTTCCCTCCCCCGCGCTCGCCACCGCCCAGCGCTCAGGACGGCGGCGGCGGCAGCGACGAGGCCAGGGGCGGTGGCTGGTGGAGGCGGAGGGGCGGGCTCAGGCCTCCGGGGGGTGCCATGTGTGTTCGGCCGCGGCGTGCTGTGCGTCCTCCTCGGAGGTGTGCGTCCGACCCCAACATGTACAATCAGCCCGCACAGCAAGGATGAGCAACTTTCCAAGGGTCCCCCTGCATCCTTCCCCTTCGGCCCATCCTTGGCCGCTTTCGCGGGCCGCTCGCAAAGTGTCGGCATGGCGTTCCAAGGCCCTTGCGTCCTTATCGTGGGTCCTTATTCTGCGGCTTGGCTGTAGCACAACCGTCTTGTAGTATATCGTCTCCCGATCGGTACAGCCAGAAAGCGCCCGCCACGAAGGATATGCTGTAAGATGTCTTGGCGCGCGCGTCGCCCCAAGGGGGGGGCCATGCACACCTAGTATCATTATGCCGTGACGCCGGTGGTTGACTGAGGTTTCGACCTGCTGATGACCAGCCTCGAGCTGATCCCTGTCCCTGAGACTGACAAGCCAAAAGGCGATGAAAATCTTAGGGATGCGCCCTCGGAAACTGAGGGAACCCCTTGGATCTGCATCGAGACACCGCGATGCCAGTCATAGGGGTAGGGATATCTTTCAGGCTGGGAAGCTGAAGGGGGCCAGGCCCCGGGGCAATCAAAAACGGATTGGGGACAAAGGACTACCTCTTGGAAAGGGGTCGGGAAATCTGCGGGACCGCGGATGGGAAAAACACATCACCGGATGCCTTGGGGGGGCGGCGGTAACGACGACAAACAGGGCGACGACGACGGCGGCAGTGATTACTTTGCATGAGTTGGAGGGGAACGGGTCTGGGACCCCAGAACTGTTCCTGGGACCGTGCCAATGTTTCACCCCGAGGCGTTCCCAGAGACCCGCCGTCTTGATTCGTTTAGGACGGGGTTGCCGGAAGTCACGACCCTTCCCTTGCAAGACCAGTTTTTCGTCCCGAATGGTTTTTCTTCGGTCGCGGGGCCCGACGAGGGCCCCCAGAGATCGAATTCGGCGACAGACCTCCGCCTTGGTTGTTTCAATGCGTTGCAAGTCTGCGTTTGCTTGACGGCCCCAGGGCTCGGGAGGGCACCAGGAAGCTGAACACGGCGAAAACACATCAGGACCCTTCTCTTCGCGCAGAAGCGGCGCGGCCCAGGGCGAGGACGGAGGCGGAGGCCTCCAGTAACGCACAGGGCGCTCAGTTGCACAGCATCGCCGCGGGGTCACAGCATGAAATCTGAGGGCCCTTTGTCGACGCTCGCTGAGCTTCTTGAGGTGTCCGCGTGGCGGACTGCGGAAACCCTGAACCCGAAAACCTGCTCATCCCCTTATCGTGGATCTTCTGACCCGGGTCAATCCAGACCCGGGTCAGCAGGAAACCAAAAACTGCAATGCAGGAAAACAAAACTGCAATGCAGGTCTTCGCAAACCCGGGTCGGCCAATAGGCGCGGCCGCCTCGCGGCCACGAGCGGCTCGCTAACCAGGGTCAGCCAGAGGGTGTCTTCGCAGGATCCTGCAGGATCCGGCGCCCTGGCTGACCCCCGTTTGCACTGACCCCCGTCTCTTAGGCCCCGACCTTCCTTCGGCCGCCTTCCGCCGGCCTTCCGCGGGCGGCGGCGGCCTCGCTTGCCTTCCGCCGCCTGCCGCCGAGGAAGAGCTGGCGGCTCCTTCCGGCTCTCGGAGGCGGGGCCCTCTTCGGAGCGCTCCGGGTGCTTCTGCGGATGCCCCGCGGCGTCGAGGGAGGACAAACGCCAGTGGGGCGCCTGCCGGCAGGCTGGCTGCTTGCTTGACGCGCCTGCTACCCCCCCCCCTCCTGGCCCTGGCGCGGTGGCACGCGCGCCCTCCTGTCGGAGGCCAGGAGCCCGGGCGATCCCACGACTCTGGGTGGGTCCAGCGCGACGCCCACATCATGCAGAGGGTCTCGGCCCTCTCTCCTCCAAACGGGCATGCCTCGATCCCGAAGCCGTCTGAGCGACGATCAAGAAGCCCGGGTCTGACGCGAGATGGCGTGGCGACCTTACGCGGTGGCTGACGCGGGCCGCACGCGCGGCACGCCACAGTTGAAGCGAGGGCGCCCACGCGCGATCTTACGCGGGCAGCTTGCGCGCCAATGTCGGCGAAGACAAACCCGCGATTTTAGACACCCGAAATGGGTACGGAAAGAATGGGTACAATGCCCAACAACAAATGTTGTCCCAAACCAACAGCGGCCGCTGTTGGGCAGGCGGCCTTCTGTCTCGAATGGACACAGGCCGCGGCGGCGTGGACAGCGAGTCCTGTTCAAAATGAACCAAATCTGCTGTTGGTCAGTGTACCCATTCTTTCCGTGCCCCTTTCGTTCGTGCAGAGTGTTTTTGCGTCGCTCACTTCTTGATGGCCATGGACATCGCCCACGGGTCCCAAAGAGGCTTCGACTCCGGGACGCAACACGCACGTGCACACGCGGGTCGCCAAGGGCCTGCGAGGATCGATGCGCCGTCCTGGCGCCCAGGATAGGGGAATGAACGCAAGCGTAGATCGGCGGCGCGCAGCAAAGGGGGTAGGGGGATGGGGGAAGGCTTCTTAGAATGAGGCTGCCTCTCAGAAGGCGCTGGCCTCACATCTGCAGACAGGGCCCGCAACATTCTAAGGAGCAGAGGTGCTTCTCCGAAGCCTTCCCCCTCCCCTTACCCCCCCTCAGCGCGTGGCTGAATAAACGTAAGCATAAACTGTCGGATGTCCGCACGGATTTCGCGGATCGGCGAGCGCGCCCTGGAGGCGCCGCCAGGACGGCACATGGCAGATGTAATCCATCTCCGCGCGGACCTCTGGAAAGTTTTGTTGATGTCATTACTTGTCCTTGCTCGGACGTCCATTCCCCGTGCATATTTCGACTTCGTGCGTTTGCGCTATTCCCGCAAGATGATTCGAGCTGCTCCGCGATGGTCCTCGATGAGTGACACATGCACGCGTCCGAACGATGCCAAGATTATGCAATCTGTTCCGTGACAAGATTGACCTCAGCTGCGGGCAAGACTTGTGCCCGTATCCACTGCACATGTGAGTTTCGGGCCCCATGCCCTAGAAACCCGAGGCGCACTGGATATGGATAAAAATCTGGGGCCTGTGGAGGCTCGATCTTTGTCCATATCCAGTGTATTGCGGCGCCCCTTCCAAGAAAATCCAAGACGTACTGGATACAAATGCAGTCGGACATAGGACAGAAGACCACCCTTCAAGATCACGAGACCCTCCTCCGGCCAGAACACCCCACACCTTAAGATCCTTCGAGGGTAGCCTCCCTAACCTTCAGATCGTTCGAGGGCCCCCTCTCCCCCCGGAGGCACAAGAACGTCCAACGAACCCGAAGACCATTAGGGGCATCCTCCCCGAACCGACCTCGACCTTTCACCTCGGTCCGACGGCATAGATCTTGCCCGCAGCAGCCAGGAGAAAAAAAAAACAGTGGCGGCGGCGCGCGGAGGCGACGCGCAGAGGGCACGGCGCAGTGCGACGCGGCGGGCCTCCTCCGGCGCGACCCGCACGCCTGCATCGGTGCGGCGCGCGGCGGCCAGGAGCCGCTGGGCGGCCGCCTTGGATGCGGCGGCGCCGCGGCCGGCCCCCTTTGGACCCCGACGCCACCCCGCAGCGACAACAGGCTTCTTGAGGCAGCGGGCGCGATCGCTGGGGGGGGGGCGGCGGGCCCGAGGGAAACGTGCCCTGGGGTTTGTCGCAGTTTTTGGGGTGCCTGGGGCCCTCTTGCGGGACACGGGGCTGTCCGAGAACGACTCAGGATAGAGAGCTCGTCCTGGGGGAAGGCCTCAGGGTCCAGGACCCGTTTCCCTCCGGACCCGCTGCTGGCTTCCCCCATGCTGACGCGAGCGGGTCGACGCCCGTGCAGGCGCCAGTCGGGCTACGGGCGGGACACGCCAGGAACGGATTGGGGCACGGAGAGCGGAGGGGGCTATGGAGAGCAGGTGGAGGCGGGCACCACTCGGAACGTGAAGTCCATCGCGGGCGTGCCGCCCGCAACAAAAGCAAGAGAGCCCGTTTTTTACGTCGCACACCGCAGATGCGGATAAGAGTGAGGGGGCGGTGGGGATGCCGGCAGTTTGCGAGACTCTGGAGAAGCCCGCCGCAGGCGTCACAGTTTCACAAATCATACAGCGAGCCCGCCGCAGACGCCGATTTTTGTTGTTAAGACAATGTGGGTAGGTCGCGGGTGGGTCGCAAATGGGTCGCGGGTGGGTCGCGGGTGGGTCGCGGGTGGGTGGCGGGTGGGGCGCGGGTGGGTCGCTGATTGGTCGCGGGGTGGATCGCTGTTGGATCGCGGGTGGGTCGCTGTTGGGTCGCGGGTGGGGCGCGGGTGGGTCGCGGATTGGTCGCGGGGTGGATCGCGGGTGGGTCGCAAGTGGCTCGCGGGTGGGTCGCGGGTGGGTCGCGGGGTGGGTCACGGGTGGTTCGCGGGCGCTCGGATGCCCTCCGAAGCCAGCACGTCCCATAGCCTTACGTTCGACTTCGCAGTGCCTTGTATGTAGATCCTGTGGCCGGGTGCGCAAGGTTGCTCTTAGCCACAAAACAAAAAGACAGCGTGGGACAAAACAGGGTGACCTGTTGTGTTCTTGACTATTCAACGATTTGCTGGAACGTTGTACGTCCTCGCAGAAAAAAACAGTTGGCCACAAAGAAGAACGGCTTGAGAGTGGACATCCGCGGTGAACTTATGCTCACAAACTGACATTTCGCTGAAAATGTGCTGGCCGTGGGACCAAGTGAACCCAGATCAAAAGGATGCTGCCCCGACACCAAGAAAGAAAATTCCACTGCGGGATCTCTACACCCGCGCAAAACAAACATCGTCACAAACGCGTCCAATGAAAAAAATAGGAGACAGGACAACGAAACCGTGTACATCGACGGCATCAGCATTGAAATTCTTGCACGCAGCGCGTTCATCAAATACCTGGGGCGTCTGCTTGAATCAACCCGCGTGAGTGCAAGCTGCCAAATCGCATTTGACAGCGTGGACAATCTTTGGAATACATAAGAACTGACCGACCGCGCCTACCCCCAACGGGAAGGCATTCGCTTGTTCAACGAGACGGTGACGCCTCCACTGCTAGATGGAAGTGATGTTTGGCCCAGGACGCGCAAGGCAGAGAATGAATGCGTGCAGCGACGAATGCTTAGGCAAATGTTGGGGACAAAGCGAAAAGTGTTCCCTCGGACACACCGAGATGCGAATTCTGCAAAATTCGCCACTTCGGATGCACTGACATTGACAGCAACTGCATGTCAGAGGATGGGTCTGTATCCTCAGACACTTCTGCGGCCACGCTGATGGAACCCTGGCCGTAATTTGTCAAGAGAGACGCAAACAGCTGAAGGAAAATTACTAGCATCCCGTGCCGAGTCTAGGGTGACAATACCGCAAGTGGCAGTGGGCCAAGAGAATGCCACATATGGATCAACATCAATGGGCTTCGAACATAATGGGATGTGGGCCGACGCTATCCAGCGAGCCTGCCCGTCGCTCGGTCGGCAGACCGAAAATTCTGTTGGCTGACGACGTCCGGGAACACAATCGTTCACAGGACACTGGCTATTCATGACGTGAATGTGCGTCACACGGGGGAGGGGCTCTGGCGGACTCGCTCGAAAGAGAATCCGTGAAAACATGAGCCCAGCAAAGCCGCGTGAGCCTGCCTATCACACGCCATCTCGCCTCCTCCTGTGCATTCTTCATGTCTGTCTGGACGCGACATTTTCCGTGATACCTTCTCTAAACCACAGCTGCACAAGGCATCGTCGGCGGCGGCGGCGGCGTCGGCGGCGGCGGCGTCTTCGTCTTCGTCTACGTCGCTGCCGACGCCGACGTCGCCATCGCGTACGTGAATGTCGACGCCACCGCCGCCGTCATAGACGTTGGCGCCACCGTCGAACCCGCCGCCGCCGCCTTCGGCGTCGTCTCACGCCGTCGTCGTCGCTTCCACCGCCGCCGTGATCGTCGCCAAGATCGTCGTCGTCGTCGGCGCCCTTGCCTGGCCGGGCCGCGCAGGAGCTGCTGGCCCTCGACGTCCCGATCAGAGGCCTCTGGAGTCTGACGGAGTCTGCCAGTGAACACAAGCATCGATCTCGCATCGTCGGATAGGACGGCATCGCCCATCAGCCCCACTATGCCCATGCCTCCTCTCGCTGCCGAAGGGTCACGACGAGAAATCGTGGCACACGACGGGAGGTGTTCGCATACCGTCTGCCTCTTGCCGGGCAGGGCCCTCACTGGAGCCTCACTGGGACGCGGGGCCTCTTCAAAACAAAAACCCATTCCTCGGAGAAAGGTCCAGACCTTCAGGGGTCCACGCTTCAGCGGACGAATAATGGTACAGTTAAAGTAAATCTTTGCGCCGTCGGTGATGTCTGTCGGGCCGCTGGAAAGTTTGCACCCCTGCCGCCCTGGACGAGGCGCCCCTCAACGGTGGACAGCCGTCATATTCCTTATGCCGTTCGTCGCCCGCTCAGCGCTGCGACGAACACACGACACTCGCCATCGCTCGGACGTCCATTCCCTGTGCATTTTTCGGTTTCGTGCGTGGTTTGTTCGCCAAATGATCAAGGATGCTCCTCGATGGGCCTCGCCGAAGGAAAAATGCACACGTCTGAGCGATGCCGAGGACATTGGAGATCCGGGTAGGCCTGGCGCCGCCACCACCCGCCCGCCGTTGCGGGCCGCCGCCGCTGTACCGTGGACGTGGCGCCCGCTGGCGCCACCACCGGCCGCCGCGGGCCCGCCCTGCGCCCCTGCGGCGGGCCCGCCGCCCGCAGGCGCCTCCGGCTAGGCCCGCCGCCGCCGCCGCGGGCCCGCCCTGGCCGACCTTCGCCTTGTCGGTGTGGTCGACGCCGAGGTCTAGCAGCTCCTGCGCGGCCGCGGCCAGGCCCGGGGCTTCCTGAACGCGGCGCGCTCGCCGTCGCCGCGGTCGCCGCCGAAGTCGCCCGCCGCCATCGCCCTCGCCGCCGCCGCCGTCGCCGCAGCCGCCGCTGCCATCGCCGTCGCCGCCGCCGAAGTCGCCGTAGCCACCGTGGCCGCCGACGTCGCCGCCGCCGAAGCCGCCGCAGCCGCCGTCGCCGTTGACGTCGCTGCCGCCACTGTCGCCGCTGCCGCCGCCGCCGCCGTCGCCGCTGCCACCGCCATCGCCGCAGCCGAGACCGCCGCACCCGCCGTCGCCGCCGCCGCCGCTGTCGCCGCCGCCGCCGCTTCCGCCGCCGCCGCTCGTGGCGAGGGTCCTGGGCGGCGATCGTGGCGGGGCGTCGACATGTCGCAACGTCCGATTGGGTAGCCACAAGGTCTCTGATGGCGGCCGAAGCAAACATGTGCAATATCGGAAGTGGCTCAACATGGTCGCTGCAGTGCCATCGGCCATCGCGGCCATCGCAACCACGTGAATCAAAACACAATGACTATATATACATATATATATATATGTTTTTATATGTATATATGAATATACAAGACTGCAGTGGCGTTTCGCGCCATGCGCTTTGTTCAGGACCCTCCCCGGCAAAACAATAAATCATCGCTTGCTTCAGCGGGGGGGACCTCGAAACCTGGACGGGCGACCGGCTCATTTTTCTGATATCCTTGATGCCTGCTGACACCGCGTTCGCCCGATGCGCTTGCACGCTTGTGCGCAGGAGCTGGGGGAATGATGAGTTTTTTCACGCGCGGAGGTCCTTTGAGGAAGTAAGGAGCGTTCTCATGACACGCCGAAGAAGTCGCAGTAGCACCGAACAAATCGATGTTTGGTAGTTTCCTGAATGCCTGGAAAGCTCCAGGCAGTCAGGAAATCTTCGATCGTCGAACTTCGAATCTAGATACATTGCCTCTCTCTCTCGACCGAGGAACTGAAACCTCGAGCCTCAAGCGTGGAACCAAAATCGTCGGGTCAGCTCGATATACTTCGTAGAAAAACGCCGTCTAGGCGTTTGGGGGGCTCTTTTGGGCCGTCCTGGGGCCCTCTTGGGCCGTCCCGGGGCCTCTTGGGCCGTCTTGGGGGGCTGAGCCCTCCAGAGATCTTCTGAAGCCATCTAAGATCCTCTTGGGGGCCTTCAATGGCCTTCTTGGGGGTATCCCATGGCTTTCGTGGGTCTCTCTTGGGAGCCTTCTGGGGACTTCTTGGGCTTCTTGCGGGCAGTCTCGGGGCTCTCTGGGGTAGTCTTGGGGCCCTCTTGGGCCGTGTTCAAAGCCTCTGGGGGGCCTCTTGGGCCGCCTTGGGGCGATCTCGGGGGCCTATCAGGCCGCTGTGGACGCTGCGAAATCCCAAACAGCGCATATGTTAAAAGTATGCATTTTCCCGGTAGAATGGGACGATGTTTGCTTCAAGGCCCGGCAAGGCGCCCTGGGAGGCCCGGAAGGGCCAGCGGACCTTTTCCAAGGGCGTCCGGCGGGCCGCTGAAACGTCCGAAGGGATGTCCAGGGCGTCCCTGGAGGGGGGATCCGGTTTAGGGGGGGGGGTCCGGGTAATAAATATAAGAATAAGAACATAGAGCCCGAATGCGGGCCATGTACTGGATCAACCCGGATAAATCCCAATCTTCAGCCAGATGAAGCTGAATTCAGCCTCCCAGGAGCTGCATCCTAACGAACAGGAAGACGACTAGTGGGTAGTGAGGGGGGGGTAGTGAATCGGCTGCATGCAGCTGGTGTTTCAGGCTCCTGTCCGCGCCCGAGGCTGCCATGTGTCGAGGAAAGGGCGCGGCGGCGGAGGCGAAAACAGTTGCATGCAGCAATTGTCGTACCCCCCCCCAACGCCCTTCGTCCGACTCCAGAGTTGGGCATGCCGTCAGCTTTGCTTTTGTGTGTATATGCGTCAAGGGGCGTTGCCAGTCGCTGGAACGGACCACCTCTGCCTCGCCGCTGGCGGGAAAAGTGTACGAGGGGGGCTGGGATGCATTGCCCCAGCACGTGTGCAAGGAGTCGCACGTAAGCGTATTGCACAAGTCTCGGGGCAATATGCTGCCATACCTTTTCGCATGCACGTCGTCAGAGGTCGGCTGGGTCGAGACGAGAATCGCAAGGAGAACAAACGCCCGCCCGATGCTGGTAAAAAGCCGGATCGGCAACGGTTCATCGTCCGACTTGGTGGTCCAAACTTGATCGGACCGAAGCCGCTGGATCCGACCCGAGATCCCAGCAGGAGCGTGGAGCGTGCCCCAGACGGAGGCCCCTTCTGGGAGTCACCTCACCGTCGAGGGGAGGAGGACCCCAGCAATGCCAAGCAATGCCAAGCAATGGCAAGCAGCGTCAAGCAATGTAAAGCAATGCCAGGGAGTGCAAGAGAATGCCAACAATGCCAGGCACTGCAAAGCCAAATGCCAAAACTAGCCAGACAATGACTCGCAATTTCAAGCAACGCCAAGCTATGCCATGCAATGCCAAGAAATGCCAAACGATGCCAGGGAACGCCAGCAATTGTCAAGCAACGCTAAACAATGCAAATGATGCAAAGCAATGCCAAGCGAGGCATAGCAATGCCAACTGATGCCAATCAGTGCCAAGCAATGACACGCAACGTCAAGCAGTGCCAAGCTATTCCAAGCTCTGCCAAACGATGCTAGGGAATGCCAAGCAATGTAAGTCAACGCCAGGCAATTATACGCAACGCAAAGCAATGCCAAGCGATTCAAACCAATACTGAACGAAGCCAAACACTGCCAAATGATACCAAACAGTGCGAACCGTTTCGGACAGTTATACCATGCAACGCCGAGTATTGCCAGACACGTTCTTGCGATGCCAGGGAACGCCAAACCTTGCCAAGCAATGCTGTGCATTGCACTGAAACGATAACACCCCAAATTGAGGTCACGCTGGGTTCATTTCATCAGCGCAAGCACCTCGTCCCTCTAGCGGGCATCCTCACGCATCGGCGGCGATGCAGCGCATGAAGAGTGCAACATCCTGCAGCTTGAAGGCGTCGTAGTCTGATTATCTGGCCCACTCAATGGCAGAAACCGCGATGCGTGTGGCATTGTAATATATCCGGCAACCAGCTTACTCGGAAAACCAACAAACCTCTTCCACCTCTGACAACATTCGGCCGCTGCGCAATGAGAGCGCTGAACCGCTGAACCCTGCCTGTGGCCAAGCGTCGCACAGGCTCAGAGGCATCGGCGGAAGCATGGGGAGCACGGGTGGGTACGACCATGCACTGGATGCCAAACGAAAACCTGTCAGAGGCAGAGCACGTCGTGTACGTAGCATGGGCTGCATTTTGTGGTATTGCCATTTGCCAAGAGTGTTCCACGTGTCAAGCCAGGCATTACAGTCTTGCTCTTGGTTTGGCAAACAACTTCACCCCGTATGGCCGCTGAGCTCGAGCGATGAGGCCAACGATTCGTTTGAAGGCAACGCTGTCTGCCTCCTGGACCGCTTTGCATTCCCGATCGAACACAAACACATATGGGTTTGCCGAAGGTGTGTACTGTGGCCACTCGGCTGGCGGTGCAGGCGACCCAATTCGCGCGAAAGATGCGAAACACTCCATGAGCTTCTTAGACACGTAGTCGGCTGCCTCCGGCTCTGCCTCTTAGCATGAAAGAAAAAAGGCTCCTGAGAGAACCGCGTCCTGGACCACGGAGCGATCCCCGGGACAAACTTTTCACCATGAATCGGTTCTGACGGCGTCGGGGCCGGGGAAGGGCTCCGAGAGGCCGAGCACGGCAGAAAATCGCAAAACATCCCTTTTTCTGCATGCGGAGCCTTGGAGCCGGACATCTCTTTGAGAATCCAGTGCGCGCGGTGGGTGCCGAACAGCAGCGGCAGCTCGGTGGCGTGAGCCGCACCGAGCCTGCCCGCGTCGAAATCGAACGAGCATCGGCGGTTCGAAGATGGCTCCCTGAGAGATGGGGCCCTGAGAGGCGGGAGAGGATCCAAGTTTGGATGTGCAATGTTTGAGGCACCTCGTCCTCAGGGCCCCGTCTGACTACCTACCAAACCACCCCAACCCAAACCGAAACCGCCTTTGGGATCGTCAATTTCGGGTGGGGGGGGGGGGGCGGGCACTCTAGAATGTAGAGGAAACGCGACGGGACCCGTACAACCCCCCAACCCCAAACCTAGGGTGGCTCTGGGACCGTCGGGTTCGGTTGGGGTGGTCCCCTACGTAGAGAGACCACCCTCAGGGCCCCATCTTGGAACCGCCGAGAGTACACGAACACCTTGTCCGCTGCGCGTCCCAGTGCCTCTGCGGCAAGCCGCGCTGGCGGGCGGCGCGCGCAGCGGTGACTGCACGAGGGAGACGGCCTTCTGAGAAGGCGGCGGGCTTCTGCGAAGTCATGGGCGCTCTCGGAAGCCTTCTCCAGGGCCTCCTGGCCCTGCTCAGGAGGCCTCTGCCCTGTGAGAAGCCCCGTGCCGCCCCAGAAGTCCGCACCCCTCGCGCAGCCCCGCTTGTGCGCGCCGCCAGGATGGCGCATGAAAGACCAACCAAGTGTAAAGCCGATTCTCTGCAGCTCCCCAGCACTTCAGCCCGCCCTCTGCTCGGAGAGCTTTCATCGCCTCTGACAGCTCGCCCCGCAGCATGTCGACGTCCTCTTCTCCCCCGACGGAGCCCATTCGAGCGGGTCCCAGGTGAGCTGCAGCTTTCCTGACAATGTCAGCAAGTGGATTGCGTTGAAAGCGTGGGGCAGGACTGAAAAAATCCCACTCGCTCGCCGTGGTTCCAATGATTACCTGCTTATTGCTAAGATTGACCGAACCCTGGATCACAGAGGTCAGTGGCATATCCAGCAACAAATTCTGGTCGACGCAAGGCTGAAACGGCATGGCTCCCCCTCGCATCCCAGCCTGTGCGGCCAATAATCTCTCCGGGCTGACACCACGAAGTGTATCGGTGCTGGCATATACACCAATATGCTCGCAGAATCTGCGGCCCATGTGCACCGCATCTTC